AACAGGATGCTCCTCTTCTGCTAACTTGGCCATTTTCTAGAGAAGTTTCTGCAACAAATGAGATCAAGTGCTTATTAATTACTTGTGTGTGCCTTCTACCGAGCGCTCAGCACAGAATATACATAAGGGATGGTTTCTATTATGGCTGACATACCACGTGACGCAATGGATGGAGTTTGGATATGATTTTCAAGCACGCTGACCATTCCACCTTTTGACTATTCTATTACAATTTGCACATGTGTGCACTGTGGAATTAGTTTGGTGGATTGAGGAGAAAGTAATCGTTTTGATTCTTCTTTTTGGTGGACCGAAAATCACAAATGTTATGATGTGTGCTAGTAATACTTGATGAAAGAAAAAAAAATATTTAAAGTGTGTTTAATCATTAATATTTATGAAATTATAGGCTTAAGAGTTTTATTTTTCATAAGTAATTTCATAAGTGTTCATTATATTTATATTGTGCAAATATTGTAGTGATTGAAGGTATGATGATTAAATGGAGAGAATTAGAAGAAAAAGACTTGAATGCAAAGAGTTGGAAAGATGAGGATCCAAGGAGTAAATTTGGAAGTTTGAAGGCCCAAGTTGGATTTCTCCATTTTTTATCAAGAGCAAAATTCGTGAAAGTTTGTTTTGACCAGAAACGGAAAAACAGAAACACCAGGGGTTCCGCCCCTGAAGCAGGTTCCAACCCCTGTTCAACGTGGCACAAAAACAGAATGAAGCAGGGTTCCGCCCCCTGAAGCAGGTTCCGACCCCTCACCGACAAGGCTGTGCGGGAAGAAAAAATAAAATAAAATAAATCTTAATTACCAAACACTTCTATTTTATTTTTAATATAAATAGGAACCCTTGAAAATTAGGTTTAGCTTCTAAAAAAACAAAACAGCTTTAAGACTTCTATTTTCTTCTTTTTCAATACTAAAGAATTATGTTAAAGGACAATTAAACTTTTAATAAGATTAGAGAGAATTTTAATCGAGGAGTTTGATTTGTTATTTTATTTTGATTCATTCGTAGATTTTATTATTTAATTTTATTTTTGAGAAATTATTAATTATTTTTTAGATTTGAAAACTTTAAAAATTATATTCATAAAATTTCATATAAAATTAGTGATGCTCTTTTTATGTGTAATTTGTTAGAGTATAATTGATTGATAAATTTGTTTTGTGGGTTGATCTTTTACTGCAGTATTGTCGATTAGATATATTGTCACTCTTGAATAGCTCGTAATAATAAATCAATTTGTTCTTCATTGAAATTAATTTCTCTCAAAATAAATATATTAGTTATTATTATTGGTCTTCACAGTTAAATCTTTCGATTGTTTGTTTGGGATGTGAAACATGTAATTGAATAATAAATAAGAATCAAAATTTATAACAGTTAAACAAATTAATGAAGTGACCCTTAAAGTCTTGTTCATTATAATATTATTTTTAATCTTTTATAATTATCATATTTTATTTAAATATTTTTATTCTTAATTTTAAAATTTATCTTTTAATTTAATTTCCCATTGTGACAACTTTTTTGTTGATTCAATATAACTTTCCTGTGGATTCGACACCTAAAGTTACGCTACAACAGTCGTTTAGTCGAAGGATATTAATTTTGAAGCGAGACATCAACACTATACTGGAACTAATCACAATACTAACTCTACTGTGCAGAGGTTCACTAAATACTCCCACTGAAATCTCAAACTTTAAGTTTAGGTCCACTTACTCCATAATCACAAGCACATACACATGTCAAACAAGTTTAGAATATGTTTAAAATAATATTAAAATATTATTCCATTTAATGCTCCCATTAATTAGTCGCATAGACAATTCAAATTTATACTAATATTCACATACAACTCACATATTTTATAAAACTTCATATTGAAAGAAATTGAAATACACTGCATTAATGGTAATTAGTGTGTAAACAGTGTTTATGAACAGTAATCCATAAACAGTAACTCATAAATAGTAACCCATAAACGGTAACCTGTGAAACAGCTCCAGTAAGATCCCTAAATCCATAAAATTCACACTAAATCAAACATAAAAAAAAACAAGGAATAATTCACTGTTTTTCTCATACAACCCAAAAAATTAAAGATATTTCTAATGAAATTTTAATGCCCAAAAATCTTATGAACCAAAGGATTTGGGTCAAATCTCACTAATTTAAACTAGCCAAAACTCTAACTCCAAATTCATAACTAAAACTTATACTTACCTAAAAAAGCACCTTAACCTTAGCTGGAGAAAGAAGGAAGAAAGATGTAGGTGGAAGAGGAAGGCACAGGAAAAAAAAATGGGGGCTTTTGGGAGCCTTCTGGAGGCTTATCCAAGTCCAACCGTCAAGGAAAAAAAAAGCTTGGTTGGTATAATGCCATGTGGTAAGAGAAATTGGAATAATTGAATTAAGGCTATTCAACTTCTACTAAATTCTATTTAAAACCTCTAAACTTTAAATTCAATTAGTTTAATCTCTCAAACTATAAACTAAAAAACTCTAATTTTTAAATTATTAATTAAGGTATGTGGGATGTTACACATATATTATCATGTAATCATAAAATTTTATCATTCACATTGACTTAATGTATTTAAATTTGAACCCTTTAACTTATAAGATAATAATTGCTTATTAATAAATTAAACTTGAGTGG